AAAAAAAAAAAAAAAAAAAAAACACTAAAGACTATCAGCAAATATCAAATATAGAAAGCCCAGAAACCTCAATCATTAAAATCTTGACTTTATTTTTCCAATAGAATTAAAATGAAAACTTATGTGTTTGATTAAAAGGATAAATGATGAAAAGATTAATTAAAGGAGACGAAAAAATGGTGAAAATTTTACTATCAACAAAAATTAAATAATGAAAATCCAGAAACCCCAAACATAAAAATCTTAACTTTATTTTAAAATCGAATACAAAATGAAACTTTATGTGACTGATTAAAAGAAGCTAATGAAAAAAAGATTAAATTAAAAGGAGAAGAAAAACAGTGAAATTTTCGAATCTAGAGAGAGAGACCTGTTTGTGTTACAAACAAAAAAAAAGAGAGAGAGACCTGTTGACAAAAAAAAAAAAAAAGAGAGAGAGAGACCTACAGATTTGTTTCAGACAAAGCTTTGTACTTGAAAGTCGTAAGAAGTCTTTTACTGTCTCTTTCTATTTTGTACTTGAGAAAATACTGGCATATGCGTACGATAAAAGGACTTAATGGCAGAGAGGCGTACGATAGGGAGTTTTCTGGTGGATGAAGAATTGTGATTTGATATTTCGTGATAACACTCTCTGAAGCGGTTCTCTCTTTATCTATCTCTAGACCAGAGCCGTCCTTTTGGACCATTGAACTTTTAGGTGTTCGTGCAAAAGTCTAAGCGAGCTTCTCTAGACACGCCTTGTCTCTTCTCTCTATCTCATCTAGCCCTGGATTGCTCACTTTTGTGGACCCGTTCTCAAACTACTATATTACCCCTGACCTCAATTGTCAATTTTTAGATCTATATTTGGTAACTGGTTCTCTGGTTTGATAGTGAAAATTCAGCTGTAGAAAAGGATAATTAGTTGACTTGAGCTTGAATTATAACTAGCTTTTGACCCTCCACACAGATGTATATTCTGTATAATTATATGTTTGTGTTAGTTGTAAAAATTATTCATATTTTATGTTTTATAGGTTACTGAATTTTGATATCGGTGTATCATGTTCATTTTGTTTAGTGTCTTTTTTTAACTATCAGATGGTATTTTTTTATATTGAAATTTTTATTTGGTAAACTAAACAATTAAATGTAAAATATTATAGGATCTTGTTCAAATTGTGTGTTTTATTAAACTATATTATAAGTTTTTTGAATGATATTATTATTTAAAATTAGATTTTATAGATAATGTATTTTTTTAAATAAATTATTTAGAAAGTAAAAATAAAATAAAACCATTTACAAAAGAATAAAATCTCTAGCATGATTTTATTAACAAAGGCCTTTTTGTTAAATTGAATTGAGTAATTTGGTTTTGATTTAAAGTTATTGGAGTTAAAATCTTTATTAAACCCATTTCAAATTAAGTGTTTTGGTTTCAATGGCATAAGATTGTAATTTTTGAGCAAAGTTAAGGGTTATTTCCTATTTGTACTCCCCTTTTAATAGTTTAGATATACTAACTAATAAGACCATTTTTATTATCATTTTAAAATAACATTTAAGATACTTTTTAAAGAAAAAAAAAGATACTTTTTAAAGATTTTAAAATTGTTTAGATTGAGATAAATAAATTAGTTATCTATGAGAATTTTCCAAATGTTATTTTAAAAGAATTGTAATAGATAACTAAATTTAAAAGAATTGTAATAGATAACTAAATTTAAAAGAATTGTAATATTTTCTTATTTTTCTTATACATAATTTTATAAAAAAAATTAAGTGTTAAATTATTTTAATGGATGTGTTGAAATATGTGTTTAAGCCTGAAGTGGATTAAGTTTTGTAGAATACATCACACATGGTGGTGTTATTGTGCTAACTGATTGTTGATTAAGAAATAACTGGAATGTGTTATACTGTTATTACTCTCTTTTTCTGTGTGCACTTTATACTGTTATTACTTTTTTTTTTTTCACTGATTTTCATTGATAACAATGGGAAAGATACAAAGATGATGTCTTAAAGCCGGCGGAATACAAGACAATCCCCGGAAGCTAAGCCCATACAAGGGAGACTAAAACCCAAACGAAAGGGTTACATACCAACAACCTGAACTTAAACGAAACCTACACCTTTTAAGATCACCAGACAAGCCACTATAGATAAAGAACATAGACTTAAAGGCCTTTGACTAGCCGGAACTCTTACATTGAAAAATACAAGAGAGCAAACAACGCAGGCGACAACTCCAAAAGAGCAGAAATTTCATCTGAATCACCTATTCACGATGACAAAACCAAACCACTTCGACGACCTCAAGACATAAAACCAAGGAGAAACCACACCCACGAGAGCACCACAAGAATACCTAACTCAATCGCACCTTAGCTGGGAGCTTCCAAGCCTCAACCAATTTATACTGCTTCAACCAGACGAAGCCAAGAGGACAACTGAGACCACAAGAAGACCATGATAAACACTAAAACGAAAGGCGAGAGACGGCTTCTTACGAACTTGAGAAACCAATAGATGTTCTGAAACCACCTACTTCTCAAGGACCAAACCAACAACTACTCACCACACACCATTGCTAGCCAAGCACCACCACGTTACTGCTACCCCGTTGCGAAGGCAAAGACCAATTAAGACTAGCTCAAGAACCTAAGAGACATTAACCGAGAAGGCTCCACCAGAAAAAACAACCCACATCCTAAACGAGAAAATAGCCAAAAGCCGACCATTAGTTCGAAACCACCACGCTACCATTTCACCACAAAGCCCGAAGAGACTGAAGCACCACCAGTACCGACACTCCTCACAAGCGGAGAGCTTCCTGTAGCAGAATCAGATACCCAGATTCGTGTGAATAATGAAGGAGACACGGCGAGAAGAAATAACAGCGAAAGAGAAGCAAGGAAATAGCCAAAGGTAAGCCTCTGGCCTCGGTACGTGCGCGCACGCGCCACCGGACGCCGGAGCGGATGTGAGCACTTTTATAAACCGATGAGAGAGGCGAGAGCTTTTTTCTTGGTACTGTAAAATACTCCATACTGTTATTACTTATTACTGCTAAAATTTTGATATTATAAAATTTGATATATAGCCAAGGGCCAAATTAGGAGTGCCCCAAAAAGAGTATCAGCTCTATTTCATAAAACAATGGTTTCTTCATTGAAGTGGTGGGGCCGTGAACCCTACGGTTGTCTATGAGTGTGATTGGTAAATTTGACGTAACTTGGAGTAATTAAATTTAGAAGGAATGGGTGAAAAAGAAATGGAGGGAATGAGAGTAAACTTTTAAGGTTTTGACTGGTGACCACCAAAAGAATAATAGGAACAACGAGGAAAAGAATGAAGAGGAATAAAATAATAGGAACACTTGTTCCATATTGTTCCTCCCCGGATTTGATAAGGAATGATTTTGTTCTTTGATTCCTTAAATTAAAAGGAATGAGAAGGAATATTAAAGAAAAATTATTCCTTATAAATGGTGTCAAATTTAAGGAATGGAGAGGAATTAACTATTATGATTTCTTATAAATGATGTCAAATTTAAGAAATAAAGAGAAATTAACTATTCCCACACATTCCTTTGGTCATCAATTAAAAATTTATTCTTATAAAAAAGAGAGGTATATATTACTCTATAGATTCGCTAAAAGACAAAATTATTTACTCTACCTCAATTAAAGTTCTTTTATCCTGATTGGTTTTAGTTTGGCGTAACTGAGCTGAAAATTAACTTTCCTCTAATATTTTACTCTAATATTACCGTACAGTCACAGCCAAATTGTTTTCCTTCTTTTCCCTTGAGTTTTGTGTGGCCCCAAACCCAATATAAGTTGTCCGAATTGGTGGGGTGTGGACCGTATGGTGGTCTAGGTTTTTCTTCTCAGCCCTTGAGTTTTGTGTGGGCCCAAACCCAATATAAGTTGTCCCTCTTTTTATGAAAATTTCAGGTTTATTATACTTACAGACGAGTGAGGAAAAGCTTGTCCTACTCTGAAGACAACTAATATCACCGTTTAACAAGTTTTTAACAGAAGCACTTGATTTTATCCAAAAATAAGAGTGAGAGAAGATTTAATTTCCATAAGACAGTACAATACCATAGCATTGATATACGAAACTCCTGATTTACATGTTTCTTTATTACTCAACATCATTTTACGTAGCATAGCATAAACTTAGTACGTTTCAAAACATTACGCCATAGCTGATGTTGTATCTTTCTTCAGTTTGGTGTTGATGTCTTGTCTTGATAAAGCTTTGGATTGTGAGTTGAAATCCAAAGGAAAGCTCCCATAGCAAAGTCTCGCTTGTGAGCCAAGTCTCCATAAGTAGACAAACCGTAATCTGCTAAAACCCTGTCGAGTTTCCACTCTGGCATGTCTTGGTAATCTTCTTTCGAGTATCTTGGGTAGTGAAGAGGCATCTTAAACATACTTGCTTCATCGTTCTTGTGATTTCTGACATCCATTGATTCACTTATTATATGTTTTAATTTGCTTCTGATGAACAAATGTACATGTGTTACGTTTATGTTCTTCGGAAGATTATATAAGGATGTTGGAAATGGTGGCTTACAATGTTACACACTTAACGTGTGAGTTTTTGTCACACGAATTGGTTTGTTTACCTTCTTCATTTCCGTTGCTAAACGCATGAATATGTGGATTGTACACATTACCATTGGATTGCTTGAATGAGTCTAGTCACTTGCACGTACGGAGTTATAAGTTATGAACAAACTCTCCATTCTCCTTCCTTGTTTATCATTAACCATTGTCGTTTATCAAAACACTTTCTAAAGGGAAACCTATATTGAGAGATATAAAAAGAAACGAGATTTCAGAATATAATTGCATTTCAAGTAAAAGGTTTGGTCCACATACTCGGATACTTCAGAGGTATATTTACTTGCCTTACATATGTATCCCATGATACATATTCCAGAGATATACTTACTTGGCTCACATATTACTTCAAAATGTTTCTCCACCAAAACCCAACTACTTCGCTATAATTAATTCCTGATAAAATTAATCTTACCTTTCAAACTAATTGTTTATCAATGACAAAGATTTGAAGTATATGAGACAAGATAGAAGAAGATAAGATTTAAATTTTAAAAGTTAAAAGGACACACTTGATGTAAAAATATATATATTTTTTTAATTCAATTTAACATTCAATTAAAAAAAATATTATTTTGTACATCCATGAACAAAGTAACAACCATGTCTTATGATTATTATGCGTAAAGCGCTTCTTTTTTTTTGGTCAAAATCGTTAGCCATTCTATCTAGAGCTTAAACTAAATTTTATACCACTAATGTTATATTTAACAGTTTGAGCCATTCATCCTAAATCATTATGTTACTGTCTTGTAAAGTGTCACACAATGAGCCCTTCATCCAGAGGTTTGTGTACAGAAATCTGAGGCTGTATGAAGGGCTCATTGTGTGACAGTACATGTCCATTTCATTATCTGAATTAGCTAATTGACCAAATTTTGTTTTACAACTTTCTGTTTCCTTTGGAAACAGAGAGCCATGAAGTTTATACATCATGGGTATGGAGGGAATGTATATTCCCACAGAGAGTGTTCGGAGATTCATCTGAAAGAAATCCAGAGCAAGGTGAATCTTCTTTGACTGTTTTCTTTTGTCTTAAGCCCAAGTTCTCAAGGAAAAAAACAAACCTTAGAATCAATCTGCACACAGTAACAATAGATCAATCTGCACGCAGTAACAATAAATAGATCAATCTGCACACAGGAACAATAAATAGATCAATCTGCACGCAGTAACAAACCTACTCATAAGCACACAGCCCGAATGAGTTGTAACTTTTCTTTTGTGGATACTGGAAACAGAAAGGGCCGAGATCTAGTGCCATCAGAAAGAGGAAGATGTTTTAACTGCTGCTACAGTTTCAGATCTCAGAAACTTGCGACTGCTCAGTTATAACATCCTGCCTGCAACTGCTCAGAAACTTCTGTAACTTTTATGCATGTAAGTTCTTTTCTGAGCAGTTACAACCAGAATGGTATAAGTGCACAACACACAACAACCTTTCTTGTTTGAGACGCCAGTGGAGTAAAAAGAAGTTAGCCACGAGGTCTAGGAAGTCAAAAAAAAACAATCAGATCTATGTTCTTTAGGAAACTGGAGAAGATTTGGAAACGCAAATGCAGTGATCTGATTGGGTTTTTTTTTTTTTGACTTCCTAGACTTGGTGGCTTGTTTTTTGCTGCAGCTAGGGTTTTCTTCTTTAAAAGGTATCTCTGATATCGGTTTATTAACTATATATAGCGACCGGTTTAGGCGATTGGTTTCTTAACCAAACGAAACCAAAGTGAATAACCAAATATGTATATGTTGAAACTATATATCATTCGATTCAAAATAATAAATTAGATAAACTGATGAGTGGGGATGAGCAAAATAGAGATAAATTAGAACAACTTTTTGTTTAAAAGTTCTTTTATTGGAATTTAAATGTTGAGAAGAAGAAGATATATGTATATCTCTTTCATTGGATCTCAAGGGTTCATAAATTTGGTTTTCTCATTAGGAAAATGCACTTCTCTTTTTGATGTTTTTTTTTTTCAGAGTTACAAAGGCTAAGGTGAATGAGAGTACTATGACAAGATTCAAGCTGTTACTATTACAATAACAGTCTAGCTAATAAGCCTAATATGAGTATATCATGATGCTTTCCTTGAGGCGTTTGCTCTTACAGCACCATTAACCGGATGCTAACCCCGGGTGCTTAGCATTTAAATAAAAAAATGAAAAAGAGGGAAGCACCCCTGCTTGAACAAGCATAATAGCTAGTGGTACTTAAGGACATGTGGCGCATTGCTATTGGGCATTTTTTTTCAGACACTTTTTTTCTTCTAAAATATTTTTCTGTGACAAAAATAATATTCAAATATGAAAATGGCCTGACTAGCACCAAATTTTCTTTTAAAAATGACCAAAAAGACACTTAAAGATAGAAAAGAAAAAAACGTTTTTTTTATTGAAGCATTTTTTTTATGACCAAAATGACACTCAAATATGAAAATGACCTAATTAGCACCAATTTTTCTAAAAACAATTGACCGAAATGACACCCAAAGATGAAAAACAAAAAAAATTCTTTTGTTTTTGTTCATTTTTTTTTTCTGAAACACTGTATTTATCATCAAAATAATATCCAAATATAAAAATGACCTAACTAGCAGCAATTTTTCTTTTGAAAATGACCAAAATGACATCCAAAGATGGAAAATAAAAAAAAATTCTTAATTTTTTTTTCTGATACACTATTTTTAGGATCAAAATAACACTCAAATATAAAAATGACCTAACTAACATCATTTTTTTTAAATGACCAAAATAACATCCAAAGATGAAAAAGAAAAAATCTATGTTTTTATTTTAGAATTTATGTTTAAATATTTTTTATGTTTTATTTAATAAATAAATTGTATTTTTAAAAAATTAATTTTTTCAAAAACCCTAAAATAAGAACCTCCCATTGAAGCAGGAAGACGTTCGGGGTGCTTAACGTTACATCTTCAATCACTTTTACAATTTAAAATTATTAAATAAATAATAAGCACCCCTAATTGGGGATTTGGGTTGATGGTGCTCTTAGTGCATTGTTTGAAGTTTTCTCTTACTTCCCCATGGATTTAATTTCAAGAATGTGCACATTTTGATGCCTAATCTTTGTTAAATTTTTTACTTGTGTAACTAAATACCACATTGTTGTTTAATCTTTCTTAAGTTTACAGCCGGCGACAGAAGTATCTGATGAACCTATTGCAAAGGATTCTACCAGTGGAAGCTCTCCAAAGATAGAAGACAATACACGTAGCCCTAGTTCTCCACAGCTGAGAAGAAGAATCGTGTAAGTGGACTACTTGGTTGGCATGCAACTCAAATTATAAAATTGTATATTTGCTTACCAGCTTCCTTGATTGAGGTATAGGTCTACACACTTCAAGGAGCAAAGTGTTGATGCTGATGGTCCATCAAAGCCAATTTGATAAGAACAGGTACTTTCATACAACTCACTGAGAAGAAAAAAAACTAGGAACACAATTGATTATGTCTCTTCTACAGTAAAAGATATCAATGCGTAAAGTTGGTATTCTCTTGAGTTAAATGTTTCGCCTTCATGCCACATTTTCATTTGACGACAGAAAACTTCAAGATGATCTCAGTGATGAACGGTGTTACTTGCGAGACAACTCAAGAAAAGTAGTCTAATGATAAACTAATCTGTGCAAATACTGAGAAGGTTAGATTATAACTTTTTCCTCACAAACCCTTTGCATTGTTATTACTATTATCATCTAAGAGAAGAATCTATGTCAGTTTATCACATATTTTTTGGCTTTGCTGTTTTAACTATTTTCTATATATTTTGTGCTTGTGGGATTCATCAACGAAAGATACTGGACTCTACGGAAGAAGCCATTGAGCAAAGCTTAGCGAGTACAAGACACGTAAATGTAGGGCGTCAACGATATTCAGAGAGTTCAAAGACGAGTTGCTTCTAGTGGCTATTGATCTTGGCCATGACCTGTGTGATCATAATGGTTGTCCTGGCTATCCGAGTGACATAACATATGGTTCGGGAGTGAAAACTACATTAGCTAGTGTGAGATTAAAATAAAACTTACAGTTTTTTGTTAATTAATCTAATCCCCTATATATTAATCGAGAATCATTTACAAAGTTGTAACCTTAAGTTTGTAAGAATTAAAAATAACCCCAAACCTATGTGGCATAGCTCTTTGGTTTCTATTTTAAATCTCAACGATTCAAGAGCATGTGATATAATGTATAGTCTAAAAATTATACTCTCTAGCAATATAATATTTTGTAGGCTATAGTTGATCGCATATATCAAATATTTATTGTTTCGCATGCTTTCCTTAAATAAAACCTACGGAATTACCTAATGTGATTAAAATATATATATGACAATTAATGATTTTAAACAATAAAGATTTGATAACAATCTATATACTTTTTCTCATTTGTTTTTTCTTTGTTATTAAAATAAATTCTACAATTACATTAATAATATAATAAAAATCTAGATTTTTTTTGGTGTATGTTGTATTTCGAATTTTGCAAAATGAGTATAAATTACTAAAACTGTTAAAAGTCCCACATAAACTTTTAGGATCAAGGTTTTAATTTTTTTTTCTATATTAAAATATAATGATTATAAGGCCATATGAAGAAATAATTTTAGTTTATATATATTTCCTCTCGTTTTAATTAAACTGTACATCGTATGAAAATACATACTTATATTTTGATATTTACCTTGAACATCTATCACTACAAGAAAATAGCTCTATTGCAACAGAAAAATTGCAACGTCTATTTTCGTTAATAATTTACTATGATTATTGCAATATTTTTGCAATGATAAATATTCGTTACGGTTTCATTACAAATTAATTGCAAAATTACAACCAC